CTCACCAAGGCTTTTATACTTCGGTTACCCTTGACCTATTTTCACCCGCCTGTCGAGCGGCTTGTCTGAATGTGGTCGTTGATGCATACCTCAACTTCGCACAGCCGCAGATGAGAGTTGGGTACATGAGTGAAAACAAAGAGGAGGATGATGATCCTGAGGGGCCAGGACTTTTGTGAAAATTTCAGATGAGCTACTTTCTCATTCTGGTTGATGGAGTCCACAGACACACACATTGTTAGTGTGTTCATAAATGGAAACATCTTTAACCAGCTGATCCATACTTCAAATTTTCGTCCTTTCTAAGGTTCAGTGTTCGATCAGAACGACCAGTTAACGCATGGTCACCTTCGATAACTATGAAGCCAACCGGGAAATGTTGTCTGACAAACCAATCGGTGGAGGGTAACCATCCATATAGGAATATTTGATTCGCTCTTAATATGTTTAACATACATGCCGGGAACTGAAAGGACTAGTGACAAAAACGGTTCACAAGAATCTCTTTGAGAATGAGGTAACTAGGACTGATTCACAAAAATCTGTATATAACTTGTTAAAGCTTAAATAGAAATAGAGCCTAAGTTAACCCCTTGGGGGAGGGACGAGCCGAAGCTTGTGGAAGCGGAAACGCGAACGTAAATCTGATAACTCGAAGTGATGTTTAGAGTAGATAACAAAGTGGATACGAAATTCATGCAACACTGATTTATCTGGGTGGTACCGCTACAACGGTATAACTTCACTAGTACAATACGGTAACCACAGAGTGAGTTCAATGGTATTCTAGTAATGTGCACAATATATACGGGGTTACAAAGTTGGACCGATTGAAGAAAATTCAGTCACAGCATGTTCTCCTTCCCACACAAATTGATTCACAAGCACAGAGGAGAGAGATCTGTAACTAAACATGTCAACAATCGGGTAATGATCGTTAGTTTCACCATCTCCCACCACCGGGACGGAACACATCATACCTGACAGCACTGGTCAATCGAGCCGTATTGTCGTCCAGTAAGGTCAAAGTCGAATCGGCCACATGACCGGTTTCACCAGACAGACCCATTGCTGAGCGGAGCTCGCCCATACGTTTCTCGTAGCTACGCAATGTGGTCACCTCCTCGCGAATGGCCTCAGCCACGTCGGAGAAGGCAGCACCTTTGAATTCGCGCCAAAGGCGATCGGTGTTCGTGGACAGATCGTATTGTTCCAATTTTCCCGACTTCTTTTTTGCAGGGGTTGTCCTCGTTTGGATGTCGCCAGATTCTTGCCCTTCAGTTGTTGGGGTCTCTTTGGCCAACTCGAGATCTACTTGGACACGGTTTAGTCGGATATTCTGCGATTGAGATAGAAAAGATGGATGAACAGAAAACTTGGAACACGCACGGAAGGTATTTATGCAATCAAGAAATTACAATTGTTCTACAAACACAGTCGACAAAAAAATACTAGAAAATGGAAGGATTAGTAGTGTTGTATCTGTTTCACTCTCTAAACAAACTTGTCCTATTCATACTCAAAATTACACGTACATAGCTATGTCTCACTACTGTTGTCACTACTTTCTCTTCTTCCCAGACGTGCTGACTGAAGTAAACCAGCCGGTCTCTAGATCGGGCCGGTTGTGTTCCCTCACTCGTTAGAAGTATCACCTATGCCACTACTCTACACTCTCCTTACTCGCAACCGAATGGGCATCCACCAGACCACCAATTGGCGCGAATACATGCACAAGCAGAATAGTTCATTGTTCTCGTGATCAGTTTGTTGCTCCCGTGTATTTTTTGGCTGGTTGTCAGTCACTGACTGACTCTTGTGTAGAAGTGCTTGCCACTATTGCCTCTCAGTGAATTGCACGCGCTCGTAGTCGTTGAATCGAACGCTTTCACAGCATTTGACGGTTTCTTTGGAAACAACAGAACGCTGTTTTACTTTGACGCACTCTATCATTTGATTGTGCCCCGACAGTGTAAACACGCTAACAAGCCTAGGAATCGCTTTATACCCGAGGGGTGGATCTTTAGCTATTTGTCTCACGATTCGAGGTCTGTACCTAATTTATGTTAATCATTCGTTGCCCATAATAGTGCGGCATTTCAAGGCAATCTCGCACTCCGTTGACTTCAGGAGTAGCACGTCACTCGGTCGGTAGGACCGAATATATATATATATATATATATATATATATATATATATTGATATTTTTTGTGCGTTCTTTCATCGTTTTTCACGAGGCATGGGATTTCAACGGGCAGACCGTACAACATTCGCATCACTGAATTCTATTCTGGGACCTATCTCGCAGAGTCTCTAACCAACGACAATCCTCATCCCTTGGGCCCCAACAGGGAAGGCAGGCTGCACCAACCAAAGTCAAAGATTAAGCTAGCCTCTTCATAGCTCTACGCCATGTCTGACAGCCGCGGCGCTTCTTCCAGCCTTGCCCGGCACTTGCAAAGAGAACACGGAGAGGTGGGCCATCGACAGACATAAGCAAAATGTGACCGAACCGTTGGAGGCTGCGTAGCGCGATTATAGATCAACTATCCGCACCCAACACACGACGACGAACCTCGTTATTGCTTACCCAATGTTCCGACATTCGAATTCGGACGGCGCAAAGCATATGCTATACCTGGAAACCTCTATCGCGAAGCGATTCAAAGCGTACTGTGGACTGCCTGTGTATTGCCACCCAACAAGGTGATATCATCGGCATATTCTAAGTCAAGGACTGTCCCCCGGGAGGATTTCTATTCTACCGCTTGCTAGACCGGACATAGTATTCTGTAGAACATCCTCTATGATAAAGTTGAGAGGGAATGGGGATATAGAGCAGCCTTGTTAAACTCCACTTAGTGTGTTCTCCGGTATTTCGTCTACGACAAAATTGAAAAGGAATGACAAAAGGAGGAATCCCTAACCAACACCGCTGCTGGCTACTGTAGACTCCTACACTACCCAAAGCATGCAAGGACAGCGATCACAACAGATCTGCATATACTAATGCGGCATTCTTTTGCGAAGCAGTGAACCTAATAGAGCTTGCTTGTTAACTGAGCCGGTGGCTGGTGTTATGTGAAGGAACTATGCGACCGTTGGTTGACGAAGTTTGTGGTGTATTTCAAGCAATTGAAGCAAGATGAAGATTTGGTCGATACTACCGCTTCTTGGTCGGAATCCTACTTGCTGTTTTCTAATGTCACTCTCCCTTAACGGTTTCAGGTGGCGAAGCGCCACAGAAGTAAACATTTGCGATGATCGAAACTAAACTTATCCCATGGTAGTTTGCGCGGTCGTTGCGTGATCCCTTCTTGAAGATCGCAACGATCAACGACTCACTCCGGGATATGTTGCGAAGCAAACTATTAATCGAAACGACGAGAAAATAATCCCCCACCCTAAAAATAATGCAGAGAAGCCCACCAGGTCCCGCTGCCTTTCACTTCTTTAACGATTGAATACAGCTTCATACACATAGTTCTGTTAGAGGCTCACATGCTACCACCTATAGGGTTTCCGCAACCGATGACCTGCGCAGAACTAATGTAACCGATTGCCGTTTTCTATTTGCCGGGCGGGCGGCGAGGAAAGCCCTCCTAGACAGGCTTTGAATGCGTCCAGGTTTGCAACCATGGCGTTAGAATCACCGAGCAGCACTATCAGACCACAACTTCGATTCAACCCCATGAGTTCGGTTTGTCACAAAACTCGTCCATTTGTGAACTGGGACTGTTGTTGGTTGGTGCATATGGAAAAATGATGAAAAAGGCACCTTTGGGCGTTAAGTCCCTTTCGAAAATGGACTGAAGTCTGGAGCCTAATTGCGAACGAGCGACTATTGACAGATATGTTATCTATCAGCAAGGTTTAGTACGATCCCTAAAGCAGGTCTCCTGGTGTGTGAGGGAAATACCTCGAAGACGGACCCAGTGCTCTTAGGTGGCCTATACTACTATGATCCTGAATTGGTGTATCCAATACGCAGCGCACATCGATTTCCAAAGAGTTCAGTGTACATCATCATCATCATCATCATCATCGAACAGCGAAATACAGGGGAACGAACTTCACTGATCGCTGTCAAACTCGCATAAGCATAAGCATTGGGGTTTGATGGACGAGTACTGCTGTGGGTGCCCAGCAAATAAGCAGGAGAACAATTAGGGTTCTGAGAAGAACCTAACCGCAAGGCAGCGGGTGAAGTGAAGTGGAGGCCTATTTACTGAGATCAATTACTCGTCCACCATTTTTTACCGACTGAAACACAAATTCTAGTCGAACCCCCAACCAGGAGGACCAGGAGACTGATCTTCGTCCGATCTCTACTCTTCGACTCTCCAGGCCTGATTAGATCTTCGGCTTGACAAAAGCCATCCTGTGTAGCTCGTTGGGTCAGAGAGGTGCACAAGCCATCATACCACGTCAAGGTGCAATCTCGTCGGGTACACACAAGGAACACGTTTGTTGAATCACTTGCATCAAAGTCCGCAAGTTGAACGCCCTTAGCTTTAGAGGTTGACGAGAATTCATAATCTGCAAATTATTTGGTAGTAGCTACCAACAGTGCTATTTGGAAACAAGCTCTGGCGATCGGCAAACAGGTTTTTTGATGGAATGACACGGATCACAAGAGGGGGCAAAAAGAGTGGGTTGGGTATAGAAGACAGAGACAAAGTTGGGATGCCCAAACAGTAGCTCGCTCGGTGCAATGGGCAATGCGATACTGATCATCCTGCTCGATGACCGATGCAGTATGGAATTATTCTCAGTTTGTGTATGCATTCGAGTTTGACGGACGGGTACTGCTAGGGTATCCAGCCACTAAGCAGGAGAACGATTAGGGTTCTCAACCAGCGCTTTTAGTCATGACAAGAACCTGACCGCAAGACAGCGAATGAAGCGAAGAGGAGACCCATTTATTTGGATCGATTATTCCTTCCGTATTTTTCACCGATTAAGACACCAACTCGAATTGAAGGCCCAGCCTGGATGATCAGGAGACTGGACTTTGCCTGACCTTCATCCTTTGATTTTCCAGGCAGGATAAAATCTCCTGACTTAACAAAATCCGTCCTGTGTAGCTCGTTGGATCAGAATGGTGCATAAGCTATCATGAGTCAAGGTGCAGATGACTGAAAGTGGACAATCCACATCATAGATCACCCGTTTTAATCATCTATCACACCGATACGCCAATTCCACCTCAAAACAAGAAATTCCGTACCGGATGAACACAAACTTTAATACCTGACTTCGTGGAAACAAGTTCCGTCTTGGGTACACGCCTCCGACTGATTCATCAAATTGAGGCTAAATAGCTGCTACATGCACAACAGCCCCTACGAGTGGTGCTCTAACGTAGGAATTGTTTATTTGATTACATGTGCTCCCCGAGAATGCAAAGCTAATTGGTCACTAACACTAAAGAGTACTATAGTATACTGTTTGCGCTTCACTCAATTTGGGGTTCGAAAAAAACGATCTCATTGAGAGCTGGAATTAGAAGAGTAACTTCCGGGCCAATAGATCTGACGAAATGAACAGTGGAAAAAACCACAGAACACGTACCAAGATTATAGAATCAGATGATAAAACAAAAACAACTTACAAAAATATCATGTACCAAACTTTGATAGGACATCTCATGATGCAAAGGAGTGGCCAGGTCCAGATTGCGATCCAATAACACAAGCAAAGGACGCTGAAACAGTGTTGGGAACGTTGAACCTCCTGTACGATGATCACCAGCAGTTGAACCATCCCGGCCACCGTACAATGCAGAGGAGCTTATCCCGGTGCGACTTGCCTCCGAACTGAGAAAAAGGGAGTTACGCGAGTCACGTAGACTGTCGCGTAATTTCGACTCCAACCGGGTCGCTACCATCTCGGAGGCGTCACCTTTTGGACAACGGATGATGGGGATAACGCCGAGTGTGGCAAACATGGAGAAGAGACCATCCACAATGGTATCTACCACAGCTTCGACATCTGCGTCGGACGCTTTGGCCCGATTCAAGGCTTTTGAATGGGACAAAAGACAGTTTATTTACAAAGCAGCACATGGTTTTGATCAAACAACCGCAATCTTTCAAGATATTTTTATGTACTCTTTTTTTGAAGTATGCATTCATCCTCATATATTGATATTAAAGAAGTACACTAACTTCGATCAGTGAAGTACCTCAGCGACAGACACCCTAGCGTGGACCTCACTTGTTCCGAGCATATTGGAAACGAATTTGTAATATTGCGGACACAATCGCTTCACTTTTACCGCGGTAAATATCTGCATGTTCTTTAATGGTTTAAACATGTATTACACATGCCTGTGTCATTATTGATTGATTGGTCGATGCTACATGCTAACACACACGCACGCACGCGAGAAACGCAGAATTAGTCCATCATAAAATCAATCGGCTACAGCGAATTAGATTACGGTAGTGCGCTGTCTGCTGGAATAGATTCGTTGTTTGCTAAACTGAACAGCTCGATCACAGCACAATTGCTGCTGACCTACTCGCCCTTGTGTGTTGTATGGCAGCCCTCTAATTGGCCGCCTCCCCCTTCCTGAAAATTGTATCTTTGTATATTCAATAAAAGGAAGTAAAAGGAAAAAGAAAAGAAAAAAAGAAAAAGAAGTACGTGTTCACAGGTGTACCCCCCCCCCTCATGGGCCTACTGTGGTGGTTATTATGTGCTTTCCCATCACTCCAAGGACAACATTTGGCGTTGCACGATTGAACCTGCTTGATGCGTTTCTACACAATTACGTATACATTACTCAAATGATCCGTGCATTTCTGCCTAATAATGCTTGGCAGAATGAATAAATGATCCCCTGTACATGAGTGAGGGAGCTTAAAGAGGAAACGTGGCTTGTAGCTCCGGCACGATATATCTCACAAAATTCGTCTCACATAGGCGAGATCTCCCAGTACTCTGTGATGCACCACTGAGAACAAACCAGTCGCCTTGAGAAATCTCACGCAGCCCTGCAGTGAGACCTGTGGCAATTCATTGCATCTTCTCTATCCCGTTTAATTTACTCGTGCAAGAGTATGTTTGCAGGACCTCCATGCTCCAGTCTAGGTGAACAGCATACGGAGGGGAAACGTAGGAGAGCTTCTAGAATGATCACTCAAGTACCCCCAGCATAATACAAGTGGGCGCACATACTGTCATCATCGAAAAACACCATAACGTTACGTCGCGTCAATTCAAGTCAGTGAATCGATTTGTTGTTCGAAGAACGGCCCTAGGAAGGTGATATTTTGCCACGGATTGCACACACCTCAGACGAATACATGCGCACTCAGTGGATCAATCGGTAGTTTCCACCTGGCAGACCAAGCATCCGGGCCACTCTGTAAAATTGTTCCATTCTATTGCTGAACGCAGCGTGTACCAACGCGTCAAGTCGTCGGCGTACCTCAGACATACCTCAAACAGAAAGACCACTGGAGGTTGTTGCTAAAGATAAACGAAACCCAGGGTATATAAAAGCCC